CCCCCCCCCCCCCCCCCCCCTCCCCCACTTCCCATCGAATCCTTCCTTAATTTCATCTGCTCCAACGTACATTGCATTTTGTTATTTTGTTTCTCTCATACTTCCCCTTTTTCTTCCAAGCGAAACATTTTTTTTCATCTCCACTTACTCATGTCCACTCTCCCTGTGCTGGCTACTGAACTCATATCCTTTACCATTTCTTGTTATTAAGTATCAGCGATAGAAATAGATAACAAGCACAATTAAGGATTCATTTCCTTATCTTCCCGTCCTCGTCAGCTCACTTCCCCTAAGGCAAAAGGAAATCGCCACTGACACACACTCTCGTGTCCTGATGGGGCACGGTAGCGAGGAAGTGTGGGGAGAAACACTTGTACACTAAAGCGAACACGCACGGACGCACACGAACACACACGCACGGACGCACACGAACTCTCTCACACACACACACACACACACACACACACACAAACACACACACACACACACAAACACACACACACACACACACACACTAAAAAAAAAACACACACACACAAGCCAAAATCCACGTAGTTGTTCATAAGATCCGGGCCATCACGCTCCAAAACGTCTTTGCCCAGATACACACACACAAACAACACAAACATACACACATACACATACACACACACAAACAACACAAACATACCCACATACACACACACACAAGCCAAAATCCACGTAGTTGTTCATAAGATCCGGGCCATCATGCTCCAAAACTTCTTTGCCCAGACATACACACTCACACAAACAAACAACACACACACACACACACACACACACACACACACACACTCACACTCACACTCACACTCAAAAAACGAAAGGAAAAAAATCTTCCTAGAACTCCCGTAATTCTCGATAAAACTCAGAATTATGCTTCAACCCACAATCCTATAAATCGAAACCATGACGTTCCTTCCCGTGTGACCCTGCTGTTCATACTGGGGAAAAGAGAGACAGACAGAATGAACAGACAGTAAGGAGAAAAAAAAGGACCTACCACACCAGTGGCACCCTTTAACGAACCGCAAAGCTCGTGTTGGCATTTAAAAAAATAACGAAAACACCCCCACCCCACCCACATTCACGGGGACGCGACTCACGGACATACACACATACTTGACATACACACACACACACACACACACACACACACACACACACACACACAAAGACACACACACAAAGACACACACACACGGACACATAAACAGACATAGCCAAATCAACGGCAGAGTAAAATGCCGACGTGGAGAGAAAGGAGGGAGAAGAAATGAGAGTGCAAAGGATAACTGAGAGAATGAGACAGAGTACCAGAGACGTACGGAAAGAGCCTGGAATATCGCAGAGAGACCAAGAGAGAGTCGGAGAACGGGGGACGACATCGGCGAGAGACCCAGAGAGCCTGGGATATCGCAGAGAGACCTACAGAGCCGGAGTGGAGAGCCGGAGTGGAGAGCTGGGGACGATATCGGGGAGAGAG